CCCCAAAACCCCAAAACCCCAAAACCCCGCAAAACCATGATTAGATATTATTTCTGATACGGAAGATTTTATTAAATTAAAATTGCACCATTTGCTCTAGTAATTAAATGGAAGGACCTCTCAAAAAGTATAAAAACTTCATGTCCGGTTACACCTAGTATTATGTGAAGTTGGAGTAAATAAGACTGATTATATTTAAGGATCAAGCAGATAAAATACCAAGGCATCAAATAGATCTAAGAGGAGCAAAGATAGAAGTTAATCAGTCTAACTCGAGAGAATTTGTGCTAACAATAGGTCTTGAAAATCTCACTAACACGCAAATATAAGACAGCAAAAAAAATGGAAGTAAAGCAGATAGCAACATAAAAATTCAGAAATTCTTCTTTTAATCAAGGGATCCACGAGAGCGAGATTAATGGGCAAAAGAAATTAATGAAAGTATAAAGAGAGCAAATAACATTATCCGATACAAAAATGTAGAATAGGATTCTCGTGTTACAAGAATGAGCAAAAAGGCTTTAAAATCTCATAAGGATAGCATTTATGATGCATTCTCTAGTACTCTTTTTGTAGATGAATGTGGCATTAATCATTAGCTCACTGCATTTCAAGAGATTGAGGTTCTATTTAAGACTGATATAGAAGTACTTTTGGATATGGTTAAGAGTACTATCGATGAGGAAAAGGCAAATCCTATTTTAAAGAAGATAAACGGAATCAAAAATCAACATAAGACTATGAGCAGTTTGATTAAGAATATTGTTGCTGAGATTGATAATACTAGAGAAAAAATGTTTAGAATTTTAGAAAGCTATGCAGCAATTGAAATACTCAAAAATCCCAAAAAATTCAATAGGAAGAAGCAATAAATGCAGCTGAAGAATAATTTTAATATTGATGATGACGTGCAGCCCAAATAAACTTTTGAGTCACACTCATCAAATGACAATAGAAGTTCTGCTAATTAAGATTCAGACAACAAAAGGAGAGCATATTTTTTATTTGAAGAGGAAAAATCTAATGATAGAGGGACCACTCTGGATGAAAACTAATTCAATTACAGACCTTCAACTACTAATGGTTCTAATTTCGACGATAACGAGGTATAATTTGGTCTTGATTAAGAAGAAGAGCTTTTCCAAGATGCAAACGAAGATTTGATACTTTAAGATCAACAACTATTAAGACCCGCAAAAGTATTTATCCAAGATATACAGGAGGAAAGAATTTCATTGCCACATATGAGAAATCCAAATCAAAAAATCAGCTTTTGGCAAGTTATGAAGGATCTAATAGGTAAGGATCTTACAAAAGTATCAATGCCAATATATTTTAACGAACCGTTATCTCTTAATCAAAGACTTGCTGAAACTCTAGAGTATAATTATCTTCTTGAAAAGGCAGCAGAAGAGGATAATTCATTATTAAGATTGGCTTATGTTGCTGCTTATTCTGGGACTAGATATAGCAGTGTAATAGGGCGAATGCAAAAACCATTCAACTCTCTACTAGGAGAAACATATGAACTAGTCACTATGAAATATAGATATGTCAGCGAACAAGTTAGCCATCATCCTCCAATTACTGCTTATCATTGCTAAGGAAGTAATTATGAAGTGTTTACCTAAGCTGGAACTACAATGAGATTCAATGGAAGGTACGTTTTATTTGCTCCAAAAGATCGTGTTTATGTTAGGCTCACTCTGAAGGATGGGACAAAAGAACTCTTTTCTTTCAACTTACCAGCTACATCTGTACATAACCTTATCATAGGCAAAGTTTACGTTGATGTTAATGGTAAATCTCAAATTTTGAATCATAGTACAAATGAAGTTTGTGACATTGAATTAAAGGAAAAAGGATGGAGTGGTAAAAATGCTAATTAAATGATTGGAATCATAAAAAACTAACAAGGCAAGTTAGCATATAAAGTTGAAGGCTAATATACCGGCAAATTATATATAACAGACATGTCACAGCCAGTTCCTACTCCCTAAGAGGTTTGGAGCTTGAATAAAAAACCTGAAAACTCAGACTGGATGTATCAATTTTCTTACTATACCCTGCAATTGAATTACCTAACTGATGCACTCAAGGAAAAACTTCCTCCTACTGATTCAAGATTAAGACCAGACTAAAGAGCTCTGGAAAATGGTGAAACAGATTTAGCCATAAGAGAAAAGCACAGACTTGAGGAGGCTTAGCGAGCAAGAAGAAAAGAACTTGAAAAAGAGAAAGGAAAACATCTTCCAGCATTTTTTGAAGAGAACTTAATTGAAGAAACAGGAGAAAAGATCTACTTAACTAATGGTAAGTACTGGGAAGATAGATCAAATAAAGAGTGGAGCAAACTTGTAAGAATATTTGACTGAGACTAAACAATGTTGAATTATTTAAAAACATGTTATCGAAAGCGAATTATCTATTCTCTATTAATAAGAAATTACATTTAATTTGGCAGAGATTTTTTTAACACTTTAAAAAGTGTTATTTCTGTGCATAGGGGTTTTGGGGTTTTGGGGTTTTGGGG